CCGGGGTGGGCTGAGGCAGAGGTTTTGGATGTTGAACGAGGGGGAAGTGGGGGTGGAATGGTCATGAGGTTAGGGGAGGGACTGGCTGAGGTGGTTTTTGTAGGTGAATTGGAAACCCTAGGTGGTTTTGGAGGTACATATGGGGAGTGGTTTAGCATGTTGGACAGGACTCTAGATCGAGCTAATATGGGTGTGAGAGGAATAGTCTTCATCGCCGATTTTATTAGCCCTGCAGGGTAAAGGTGACAGTAGTGCCCGTGGTGATCGGTGCACTCGAGGCAGTGACCCCGAAGCTAGAAGAGTGGTTACAGCGGATCCCTGGAACAACCTCAGACATCTCGGTCCAGAAATGTGCAGTGCTAGGAACAGCAAAGATACTGCGCAGAACCCTCAAGCTCCCAGGCCTTAGAGAGGGATAACCGCCCGCGGAGGGCGAAAGGTGAGATTTTTTTTTAATATATATATATATATTTAAGGGGGTGACAGTGGCTCAAGACCTTCTCCACGGACCCCCACCGATGTCTGCTGCCATTGCCTTGGGCAAGACACATAACCCCCCTTTGCCTGAAGCCCCATCTGAAAGATCAAGGTTGTGTCATCACTGACAGAGCAGCCATCCTCCTGTGGACTCAACACCTGCAGGAGAATCAGTGAGAGGCTGGTGCTATGTCAATTGGGTGGCATCTCTGACTCCCACTCCCCCGACACAGAAATGGATGAAGGCGAAGAAAGATGGTATATATAATATATACATGTATAATAAACAACGCACTGCTTTATTTCTCAAAGTGTGCTCCCGTACTGTATTTCTATTTACTTCATTTGATAATGGAGACAAGAGTTACATTGGATGTTATATTTGGCAGGACGGTGGTTGAGTGGTTAGCACTAATGAGCGGCAAACAATACACGTGCTCCTGAGCTGGTGGTGCAGCCGGTCACTAACGTGTCAGCTTCTCGGACGCTGCCGCCACTGATTGGGGAAGTGCTGTTGAAGACCCTGTCATAAAGTGGAGCGCTGAATGAAAGCTCGTTAGCATGCAGCTGCCCTGCTAACAGACTGTTTAAAATCTAATCACTGGTGCTGAGGACATGATGATGCTTTATGTTTTCACTACAGCTCAGTCATGAAAAAGACAACGATAGAGAAGCCTGCGCTCATCTCTCAGCACAAAAACTACAACTGAGGTGCGGCACGTGCACTGAAGAGTAATTAGGGCTCAGTCATTTTCAGTATTATTCATGTATACTCCAACATCATATAACTGCTGGTATAACGTGAGGTTCCCTCTCTGGTCTCTCTCTGGTCTACCTCTGGTCTCTCCCTCTGGTCTCTCTCTCTCCGGTCTCTCTCTCTGGTCTCTCTCTATGGTCTCTCCCTCTGGTCTCTCTCTCTCCGGTCTCTCTCTCTTTGGTCCCTCTCTCTGGTCTCTCCCTCTGGTCTCTCCCTCTGGTCTCTCTCTTTCCGGTCTCTCTCTCTGGTCTCTCTCTCTGGTCTCTTTCTGGTCTCTCTCTCTCCGGTCTCTCTCTCTGGTCTCTCTCTCTGGTCTCTCTCTCTGGTCTCTCTCTCTCCGGTCTCTCTCTCTCTGGTCTTTCTCTCTGGTCTCTCTCTCTGGTCTCTCTCTCTCTGGTCTCTCTCTCTCTGGTCTCTCTCTCTCTGGTCTCTCCCTCTGGTCTCTCTCTCCGGTCTCTCTCTCTGGTCTCTCTCTCTGGTCTCTCTCTCTCTGGTCTCTCTCTCCGGTCTCTCCCTCTCTCTCTCTCTCTCTCTCTCTCTCCGGTCTCTCTCTCCGGTCTCTCTCTCTGGTCTCTCACTCTCTCTCTCTCTTTCTCTCTCTCTGGTCTCTCTCTCCAGTCTCTCTCTCTGGTCTCTCTCTCTCTCTCTCCGGTCTCTCTCTCTCTCTGGTCTCTCTCTCTGGTCTCTCTCTCTGGTCTCTCTCTCTGGTCTCACTAGCCTTCCTGTAGCCCTCAGTAATAATGGCAATTAGACTGTAGTTTTCCTCCAGGGGCTCTGGTTTCCCCACCACTAAAGACAAGTGCAATAGCTCCCCTCTCAGCCCAGAAGCATCGGTATAACTATTCAACCCAGGTTTCCAGAGACGCTAGAATTGAAGAATTGTCAGATGAAGCACTCCGCTGTACTGTCTCCCTCCCTCTGTGTGGACAATAAAGCTGTGAGGCTGACAGCTCCAGTCAATTTGCCGACTTAATGAGTGGTTTTACACAGAGACTAAACATTTACCTCGTGTCAGGCAGTAATTATCAGCCCCAAGATGAGGAGGCTCGTAATTAATATGTACATGAGCCACTCCAGCTCAGAGCGGAAGGCGGGTGTTGTAGTTAGATGTGGGTGATGTCAAGAGTTTGCGTCGAACAGGCAGGTTGTAGATTGGCAATGGTGAAAAATAAAGTATTCCGGTCTGGTTCTATCAAGAAATTGAAGCCGGAGCAAGGGTAATGTTTAGCAAATGTAATCGCTGGAAAAAATCGTGGCGCTACTCCCCACAGACTCCGTTAGCGGCAAAGGAGATGGCTAGGCTCAATGCTAAATGCTAACAACAGACTCAAGCGCACTACATACGTCACGGTAAACTCAGATCCAATCGTTTCAATCTGCAAAAGGAGTTAACCCCTCCTATCTGTAAACGGAGCTCAATGGAGCACCTCCAACCCTTAGTACGAAATGTCATTTGTTTTATGGTGTGGTACGCCCAGGCTAGCAGGCACCTACAGCACCTCGGGAAAGCAAGTGAGAACAGCACTTCCACTGTGTGCGTGCCTGCAAACGAGCGAGATTGAGATATAACAGTGGAGACATCCACACTATTTTAGTTATATCAGTCAAGAAGATAAAAACCTTGTCGTCGAGTGCAAGAGTCAACACAGTCAATGGTCAACTTTATTATTTATTATACTATTGAGCTTACATTACGTTACAGATTTGCAGCAAAATATTTTCTTATTACATAACTACTCCACATCCATATTTTTAGTACCAATGCTGGACTTAGTTGAGCTAGTTGATGCTCACTAGGGCCCGGAGCTGTCTCACTTCCAAAATGTTAATCTTCTTGTTTTCATTTAAACCAATTTTCAAGGCATCAATTTCCTCTAATAATTTGAAACCAAAACTGCATAAAATGAAAGACAAATGTATACATGTATACGGCCCTGATCACAAACGTAATTGCAAACACCTCCAACTATAGAGATGTTAAAAAGACAGAGAAGACCTCCACAACTCTGTGATGGAACAGAGTAGAAAGAGATCACTGAAGGAGCCGTTCACATACTGTAGCTATAGAGAACACTGAGCCGCAATCATTGTGTCTTTGAGCAAGGCACTTAGGTGTTAATGGGTGATAGAAGTAAGTAAGTACAGTAAGTCATGTAAGTAAAGTTTATTTATATAGCGCATTTTACAGACCAAGGTCACCCAAAGCGCTTTACAATGTTCAGAGTCACCAAACACACTGGACCATCAGCCCCCAATCAACACCATCCATTCACTTTCATTTACATTAAAACCTATTGTGCATGAATGGGGAGAACATGCAAACTCCACTCAGAAAGGCCCTGTTCTGATCGGGATTCGAACCCAGGACCTTCTTGTTGAGAAACAAGAGTGCTATCCACTCAGCCACCGTGCCGCCAGAGAAGCAATGTTTACTGGTCCTATCCATGTTTTGGATTGTGAACTAATGTGAAAAGTAGAATCATTATGGAAAAAATTTAGCATGGATGGAGCTAATAAAAGGTCTGTTTTTGATGAGTAGCGATGGGATAACAAGGATCTCTAATGAAACTCTCCCTCCCTGAAGAGAGCAGTGTGTTCCTTCCTCTGGTCACAGCTCACAGCATCTAATAAAAGCTAAAACTAATCTCACGAACTGGAGAGACCGCAGAATGCGCGGTCCTACAGTGGACACTGACAGCGATGGATCCAGAGGCAGCCCCATGATGCATGTGGTGATCCGTCATGCGGCTCTGTGCCTTGTGATGTCGCATGCGGGCCTGCCGCACACTGACGTCCTTGCACTAAATTGAAACGTTCCTGTTTTAGCTCCATTGTGCCACACATTCAGAGCCCGTACAGTAAGCCGCGTGCGCACTTCCGGGATTAGATGATTCACGGCTTAATGTGAGCTCAGAGTGTGAAATGAGTGCTGCACTGGGTATAGTCGAGTATAAGTGTGGCGAAGTATGGGGGCTACACCCCCCTCCCTGCCTGGGAGCCTCCTCAGTCCTGCAGCGCACAGTCAAACACAGACCAAGGTCACCTAAAGCCATTTACAATGTTCAGAGCTCAGAAATCTTTTCATTCTCTCCATACGGTGATGACGGAAGCGAGACGCCAAACATCCCGGAGGAAACCTACAGACACAAGGAGAATATGCATCCTACACACAGAAAGGCCTGGAGGTGGAATCAAATCAAACACCTGACGAAATGGGTGGAGTCTGGTGTGCTACTGATCAGGTTGGAACTAAAACACCGGCCCTTTGAGGAGCAGTTTAGTAGCAGTTTCACTACTACTTTTTATAATCGGTTTCTGACCAAAATTAGTTTGACATCAAGTAAACCCAAAGCGTTTCACTACAGCAGCGTCTGATTGGCACAACAATTCTACTGTATGTTATTGCATATCTAAATTTTCGCCATTACTTAGACAGCTTTGAAGGAGCCTTTGGTCCATAGGATGCGGTATGAACAGTGTCCAGATATGTTAAAAATAATTCCTTAAATGTGCCTAATCATCACTGTCTAAAACCCTCCTATATCGGTAAGGTACAACTGAAAAACAGGCATCATGCTGTTGTGTGCAGTTGCATGCAGTTGCATGCATACGCGTGAGCTGTGGGGCCCTTAAAAACATCTTGTGCGGTTGTGTGCTGTAGTGTGCTGTCGAGTGCATACAGTATGTGTGAGTCCTGGGGCCCCTGCACTTCGGTGTTGGCAAAGATCTTGTGGGTGAAGTGGTGCGTACGGGGGCGGGCTCTTACGACGTATGGCAGCTGGTGGGCCGTCGCCAGCGGAGACTGATGCAGCAGTGAGGCGGGTTGCCATGGTGACGCTCGGCCAAAGTGAGTGATGCTCGGGTACCGCGACGATGCTGCCAGCTGCGAGAGGGAGAGCTGAGGAAGAGAGTAAGCAATTACCCTCCAAAGATAGACACCAGTGTGGCACATTAAGATTAGATTAAGATTAAAACTAAAAGAGATTAACATTAACTTTATATTGAAGACTAAACATTTACCAGTAAGGGTTTCCTCACCACATTGACAAAGAAACCTATTGCTTGAAATGAGAAATGAGTTGTGATTTGCCAGAAACAACTTAAAAGTATGTACGTTAAAAACTAGTGAAATCTATAAAAACTAGGATTTTTTTGTAGCGTTTGGAAAATGCGTATTATTAGAGGCCCCAGTATTCATAGAACAGGGTTAGAGGCCCGTATTTATTAAATATTTGTATCTATTATTTAAATGCCTTGTGGGATTTTAAAGTATATTTTCTTGTCTTGTTAAGCTCTTTGACTTGCCTTGTGTATGACCTGTGCTGCAAATAATTATCTTTATTTACTAAATATTAAAAAAGTTGTGCACTAATTCCTATGACTTTTAAGTGATTTGTAAAAGTCAACTCCCAGGATGTTGCACTGGCTTATAGACAGGCCCCCAAAACAGTACCTGGAAAACAAAAGACAGTTTGTACTAAATTTCAAAATTTTTGGACACTCAAAGACGCTTCTCATGTCATTCATGTATTCATTCATTCCATACACAGTGGTGATAAACTACTACTGTAGCCACAGCTGCCCTGGGGCACACCGACAGAAGCAAGGCCACCAGTATGTGCCATCGGCCCCTCCGACCACCACCAACCATTCACACACACACCATACAGGCCATTCTCAATATGCCATCTTAACTGCTGCCAAACCACCAATAAGAAATACTATTTAAGTATTCAACGCAAGGCAAGTTTATTTGTATAGCACAAATTATACCCAAAAACACACTCAACATCCATTTAAAAGAGATAAATATGAAAGTTGTACACACTGCTAAACTTGGATTGGAACACATCCATATTCATGTCATTACTGAACACCAACGCTGTAATCAGTGATGTTTACTGAGATGAAACCCTCAGAGTGAGAGCTGTGGTCTATCTGGCCTCAAACTGAACCGGTTTGAGTCGGTGACAGGTGCCACACGGGCGGGGCCTTTGCTGCGGAAGGGCCTGTGTGGACAATCTATAGGTTCAATCCAGGTTTCAAAACAGTTTTATTTAGAACTTCTGTTTCACTTCATGACAGACACTGGACACGTATACTGTATGAAGCATAAAAAATAGCAGAAATGAGAATATTTTGAAAATGGACTGTAAGCCACAATCAAAAGACATCATCAAAAGACCTAAAACAGATCACAACAAAATCAGATCCAAGAATAGATCTGGACCAAGGTCAGCCCTAAGACCAGAGAGAAATTCTAGTTCCTTCTTCAGACCAGGATGCAATCTCACACCAGGACTCAAAACAAGACCATGTGGACACGGCATCACATGCACACCTGTCCCAGTCAGCATGAGTGTGTGTGTACTTGGCTCTCTCTCTCTCACACACACACACACACACACACACCCACCAGGGCCAGTGTGGTGGCAGGCCTTCACTCAGCCATTTAGCCGCGCTCTGGACAATCCTCAATTGAACAAAATGTGTCAAATGCTTTAGCCAAGACACAGATGAATCCGCCTTTACTTACATTCCTCACATACAGAGGAGAGAGACGAGGGTGTGCACAGACACATATTAACAACTTAAACACAACAGCACAACCACAGTGTCCAGGCCAGTTTGGCGGCTGAAAGTATCTGGTGTTGGGGCTGTCTAATGCTGTAAATGTGTCACAACATTACATATCCAGTGAAATGTAGCTTCTTAGATCTTTTGATCATGCTTTCCTTAAAAAAAAAACACCTGGAGCTGTCGCGGTGTCATTAACGAACGTGAGAGTGGATGTGGCTGACTCTGGGGAGGAGATGAAATGCTCTGTTCAGCCGGGTGCCAGATGTAGCTCATGGGCTTATTTACTTCATACCAATGACTTATTTGAAATAAGTGTATAAAGAGACACTTTCAGGTGATAATCCATGTGGAGCTGGGACTCTTCTTTTGGACGGTATGAGCATGACGGTTCATAAACTGTCAGGGGGCGCGGGGGGCGGCCGAGTGGATAGAACTCTCGCATCTCAGCAAGAAGGTCCTGGGTTCGAATCCCAGTTGGAACAGGGCCTTTCTGAGAAGAGTTTGCATGTTCTCCCCATGTCTGCATAGGTTTCCTCCAGGTGCTCCGGTTTCCCCTACTACCAAAAACATGTACAATAGGTCTGGCATGCACCACCTGTACTGACGACCCCATCTCTGTGTGAAGTATAAAATGTCCACTACAAGTGAGAGACAAATGCCAACAATTGTAAACCGCTTTGTAACTCTGGTCTGTGAAAGGCGGTATATACTGTAAATAAAGATTAAATACTTTAAGGGCCATTCTCACTCAGCAAAAACATAGGTTTTTCAGTAAAAAATCCCGGGTCTCACACACTAAGGTTTATAAAACCTTAGTTTTAACCTTAGTTTATAAAACCGTAGCAAGGTGGATGTGTGCTTTTATAAAAAAGCGTTTTCTAGCACAGGGGCTGGGCTCCTACTTTGACACTGAGGAGTACAGGGACCGGCGCTCCTGCTGGTCCCAGAGTCAGGACTTAACATTGAGGCAGTGTTTCAGATTTATGCAGCTAAAATTTAGAACAGTCTTCCTGAAATGTGAGACTGGCTTCTATTCTGACAATGTTCAAATCCAGGTTAAAAACCCGATTCTTCTATTTTTAATGCAGTGTGATTATTTATTATTCTAATGCCTTGAGTAATTTTAATGTTTCTTTTCTTGTTTGGTTAAGCACTTTGAGTTGCCTTGAATATAAAGATAAGATAAGATAAACTGTGTAACACAAATGAAAGCGTCATGTGCTGCTGTATTCCTCCTGGTCCCGGTCACAAGCACCGTGACATTTCAAAGTGGGACGTCAAAGTGCCTTGCAAAAGTATTGATACAGCTTTGACTGTTTTTTTTTGTCTACAACCATAAACAGAAAGAAGTATTTTTTTTTTACTCACAGTTCACTCACAAGTAACAAACAACTGTGAAGTGAAGGCAAAATGATAAATAATTCTGTTACTTTTCCAAAAACAGAAAAGCAGCAAGTCTTTTGGGGTATGACTCTACAAGATTTGCACATCTAGAGACAGAAAGTTTAGCCCATTCCTCTCTAAAAAACAACTTGAGATCTATTTATATAGCATATTGGAAAAAAAAGGACATGACTGACACAAAGTGCTTTCCAGACATTAAAAAATACAGCACAACACAAAAATTTAAAACTGATCCACTGTCATAAAAGTTTAATTTTTGCTTGAGTTAAGAAGAAATGCAAAGAAATGTGTCTTTAGCTGTGATTTAAAGCTCTCTAGAAAGGGTTAAGCTCTGACACAATAAGCGAGAACGTTCCAGAGTTTGGGTCCTACAACAGCAAAGGCTCGGTCTCCTCTGGTCTTTAGTCTAGACCTGGGACAGTGCAAGAGAGGCTGGTCAGAGGACCTCAGTGCTCTGCCTGGAGTGTGCAAAAAATGCAAATCAGTGAGATACAATGGAGTCAGGTTGCAGTGATTTAAACACTAACAATAGTTTTAAATTGAATTCTAAAAGCGACAGGAAGCCAATGTAGAGACGACAGCACAGGAGTGATGTGCTCGTGTCGTCTAGTGCCAGTCAGAATCCAAGCTGCTGCGTTCCGTACCACCTGCAGTCTGTGAATTGAGGACTGGTCTAGGCCATAGTACACAGAGTTACAGCCGTGTGGATATTTGGGCGTGGACAACCTTCTCAAGATCATTTTGTGGTCTCTCCATAGATTTTCTATTGGATTCAAGTCTGTACTTTGACTGGACCATTCTAACACATGAATGTTTTCACCCTCTTACCCCTTGGCCTGGAGGAGAGTCGGGAGGAGAGTCCAACTGCGCCCTGCGCCCTGAAACACAGAACAGGATTTCAAACACACACAAACAAGGTTAAGGCTTGGAAAATGTATTTGTATAACAGATTTCATAAACAAGGTAACTCAAAGTCCCTTACACAACACAAGGCTAATATATTATCACAGTATATTAGAAACCATTTTTGTCAGTGTAGATGCCTGTCTCGCATTTTCAGGAAAACTGATGCAGATTCAAGCTACATTAATCTGAAATGAGCACTGACTCTACTAACAAAAAACATGCAAAAACATTAATAATATGTTTCAACTATAACCTCTGATCTTCAAATGTTGAAATGTGGACATGGCTAGGGTGTGGCCCTCTATCTTTCTTGTAAAAAATGAGGTGGGGGAGATGGGGCGAGAAGCACGGTGGCACAGTGGTTATCACCATCCCTTATCACCAAGACGGTCCGAATTCTAGTCAGAGGCAGGTTCTTTCAGAGTGGAGTTTGCATGTTTTCCCTTGTCTGCATTAGTTAAAATCTGCCAGCTCTGGTAGTCCTGACGAAGAAAAGTATTGTCGGGACTACCAGCAGCAGCGGCTTATATTTTTCAAAAATAAAGAGTTGTTCAGATTTGGATAATAGATATTAAAATAATCCCAGTTATTTATTCTTTCACCGGGGCTCGAACCAGGGTTTAGATTTCTGCATTTACATATTGAACCAACTTTCCATAGCCTGATTTGTAATGTACCCATTTTAACATGAGTTGTAATCGTCTGCGAATATGAAAAGGCCATTTTGAGTCCTTAAGCTCTAGCTTGAGGAGGAGGCATCGAGTCAGAGAGCAGACATTAGAGGACAGAGACAAGTCTAGCCCCTGACAATAACTAAAGCTGAGCAACATTTTTTGCGCATAAGTACCATTACTGATGAATAAAGCACCTGGATAGCCTGATGATAAAGCGCCTGGATCATTTTGATTAAACTTGCACTGTAATGAGAGATGTGCTCTGAGTGCATGTACCATGAGCAGGAGATCTGGAGGTGCTAGATCTCCTGGGCTGGGAGCTCCTCTCATGAGCTCTCTCCGACCTGAATTGGGCTGTTTTTCTGTCCTGTCCAGAGCAGAAGCTGAAGCTGATGGTGTCCACCTCCTGCTGCTGCAACACAACACAAGAATAAGACAAACATCCAATGATAAATAGTACATCAACACGGCCCTAACTGAAGACACATTTGACTATTTGAAATACCCCACATAATTTAGAGGCAATAGTAGCTCTGTAATAATCTGAGGAGCTCAGGAGTTTGTAAACAAGCATTTGGACAGAAGTGGCAGGGGGACATGTTTGAGCTGATTATTGTCAGAATTTCCTGACTTTAGAGTGGATGGAACTAAACAACTCCAGGTCTGTTTTTAGTCAAGAATCAATGCAATGTGGTTGAAAATATCATTTGGCATAATGTGCGCTTTACGGCCACTGCTATCAAAGAAGCATTTACAAACAAACAGGATAAGTCAATAACCAAAAAGGTGTGGAATTTCACGAGACCAAACCTGAATAAACATGGTCTCATTAAATGTCAATAGAATATGACAAGGAATGGTAAGTAGGAGGTATCAAAACGATACCGCTCATAACACCGCCCTGGGAGAGCAGGGAAATACACTAAATTCCTCCTGTAAAAGATTTAGATGCAGTTTTTTTTCCTCCCAGGACTGATTTTATTGTCAATACATAGTTTAAACTTCCGTTTAAACCTCTGGCCTTCAGACTTTAAAATATATTCATGGTGGGGGTTTGGCCTACTATCTCTCTAGTTCAAATAGCAATTTTGGCATGATGTGCCCATTGATAAAATTATTACTGCATCACTTTGAAATGGTGCCTTTCGGACACATGGCATTATATATTCACTCTATAAACAGTGGTGATAAACTACTACTGTAGCCACTGCTGCCCTGGGTCTGACACAAGTGAGGCAGCCGGTATGTGCCATCAGACCCTCCGACCTCCACCAACTACTCCATGGAAACAGACGTGGGTTGATGCCGTTACCTGCTGATGTGTGTGGGGGGTGTAGACCATGACATTGTGGGGGTTTGGTTCTGGTCCTCCCCGCAGAGCCACTGTGATCTCACCCTCTGGACCCTCTGACACAGGGGGCTGGAGGGGGCTCCACACCCCCCAGCGCAGACAGTGCAGGAAGGCTGCTCGCCTGGAGCTGGTGGCCGACAGCTAGAAAGAACAACACAACGTTACATTTTACATACAAATAGTTAACTAGAAAAAGTTTAACACTACACTCATTAAAACAATATATCATTATTAGTGATGGGAAAACAACCCCGAGGCTCCAGAGCTTGTGTTGCTCTTCCTGAAGCAGACTGCTTCGAAACACTGCATTGGAGCCAGTGTTCCCGGCTCAAAAAGGTCCATGAGCATGTGCGCTGACATACTTGCAATCTCACTCATATCCGGTGGGGGTGGACCCAGAAAGAAAATTATCCAATGCTTATATGGCGTCTTCTTACCTCTCAAAAACGGCTTTACAGGATGGTCCCAAAGTCGGCTCTTGGCCCAAACGCTACATATCAGATGTGTGTCAATGCTGAGGGGAGTATATTATTTTGGAATAGTCTAGTTTAGCCGTTATGGACTTTTGAAGGCACTCGTCAAATGAATGGGGCTAAAATATTCTGTACCACAGCAATTTTGAAACTTCCCACAAAAGCCGAAAATGGTGGCACATTAGTTTTAACGGCCGAGGTGGGCGTGACTAAGTTCGTTAATATTTGCAGTCTATTGTTGGAGCGTGTATCAACACAAGCCGCTCAAGTGAAAAACGTGTCAGGGTCTCAGACACTGCCGCCACTGTTTGACTTTGTGTATCAACTGTGTCAGAGTGTTGAAGCGTTTCATTGGCTCAATAGATTTCCCAGTTTCACATGGGTTAAAAGCGTTACAGTCTATGGTTTTCACGTGCCTCCATGGCATGACAGCTTTTAGGGCACGGTCACATTAGGTTTTAGCAAACGAACAAGGCCTTTTTCACATCAGGCTTGGCCGCTGTCAGACTTATGCGCAAGCAGTCCTCCAAAGACTGGGTTGACAGTTTATCTTGGAGAACGCGGCCTCACAGGTGTTGGTTGAACCGAACATGGTGAGCAAATACATAGGCAGTGTCTTCACTGTGTCATAGGTTTTGGGACAAGATATCCAAAATAAACTCAGGTTTTCAGCACCACAGAGAGCTGCCTTCAGCAACGGCCCCATCCTCATTACCCAGAGTTCTCAGACAGACAGCAGCCAATCAGTATGTTTCCCTGGGGACCCCTGCTCGCTCCACCAAGCACTTTCATCTGCTCTCCCACATTTCTCACTTCTCACGGCATTGTCTGAATGTCTTGCAGGTCGAACAAAGTTGTGAAATTGTGAATGTTCTTTTCAACAGAGTCAAATCTGTTGAAACCCCTAGTCAAGTCTCCGAACACCAGATGCCATCTGGATACAGTCTGGAAACATTCATTATTTTCATATGAGTCTGTACGTAAACACTCTCATTTGGGTGACACAGTGGCATGTTTGCATGTTCTCCCCATGTCCAGGAAGGTTTTCTCCAGGTACTCCGGTCTCCCCGACCACTAAAAACATATACAATAGGTGAGTGTGACTGTGGGACTAGAGATGGAAATTAGCTACCTACCTACAATCTGCTGCTGTTCATTAATACACACGGTCCCATCCAAATAAACAAAAACAAACAAAAAAGAAGAATAGAGTAGAATAGAATAGAGTGGGCAAGGTAGGGCTGGTGAAAATTTTAAAGTGTGGTAATTAAGAAAGTAAGTAATCTTTATTTATATACGGCCTTTCACAGACCAGAGTCACAAAGCGGTTTACAGGCCAGGGTTTCCCAGAGCGCACAGAGCAGTATGGCAATACCCAAGCTACCTCTTGTCTTACTCAGGGCCCCACAGTGGTGCAGTGGTTAGGGAATGGGTGGATTCAATTCCACATCCAGGCTTTTCTGTGTAGTTTGCATGTTCTTCCTGTGTCTGTGTAGGTTTATCTGGGTGCTCCAGTGTTCCCTATCACTAAAAACATGTACAATAGTTCTGGCAATTGCCGTCCTGCACCACCCAGAGGCTAGACCATCTCTGCTGCTGTGGCCCGTCCTGCTCCACCCCCAGCGGATGGCCCACCTCTGCTGCTGGGACATGAATTGCTGTTTCTTATTATTACTATTACTATTGCTCGCTTTTTAGAATGATCAATGTATTTATTTTGTTTGTGTGGATGGATGTGTTTTTGCTGCTACTGGACACATGGAGCTCGCGAAGGTTCAATCTGGTAGACTGATTGCCAAAGCTATCCCCTCCGAACCTGCCTCTCATCCTCGGCCTATCACACAGCAAACGCCCATTCCCAGCCAACCTATGCAGGCCAGGTAAGCAGCTTAAAAGCGGAGACTCCCACTTCACGGCCTTCTCAAGCCTCGCAAACCACCGCCTCCCCTCCTCCGCCTCTCTCTCCTTGCTCGAGCGTGCGCCCTTTCCTGCTGCCCTAATGCCACCACCAGTTCCTAGGCCCCGGGGGGATCGTGCGCGCACTCAGCAGGAGCCTTGCTGGCCCTAATTGCCGCACGGGGGCCTAGGATGCCAAACTACCTATCATTAAAAACATTCAAACTGCATTCTGTCTTCTGAGTCTCTCCAGATTGAACTGATTTTCTCCTATGGGTGATCAATGAAGTATCTATTTATCTATCCATCTATCTATCTATCTGTCTGTATGGTGAGCGCTCCCAAGTGTGGAGTGAGATAGTAACAATAGTAAAAGCATTTGTGACTCTGGTTTGTGAAAGGCGCTGTACTTACTCTGTCTATCTGTTGTCTTATTCTACTTTACCTTTCATCCTACTCTTCCTATCTCTGAGTTTCCCTCTTCCCCTCAGTCTTCTTTGCATATCTTAGAGCACACATTTCATACATTTACAAATCAGTCGTTCTGATCACATCCGTCCACAGAACAACACGTCTGTCAGAACGGGGGCACATACGCCGACTACAAACTCCTGTATGTAGATTAGATACTGGTCTTTGAATGTCGCTCGCAGCTTGAATCAGGCGGATATGAACGAGGCAAACAATAGCTTTGCCAAGGATTCACCGAGGCAATGTTTAGTAAATAAACTGGATAATGGCTGTGTAATCCAAGCCTTCACATGTGAGCTGTGGGGAGCTGGCAGAAGAGCCGTGTTATGTCAACATGTGGGTGGAGGAGGCACAGCGATGTTCTATCAGCACACAGGCGATGCATGTGTTAAGCCTTGTTCAATGGTCCACAATATGTTAAATATAATGGATGTAACATGAGCTCATATGGGTGTAAAGACAATTACACATGTAACATAAACAATATAATGTAATATACTGAGGACCTGTCAAGACAGAAAGCCCTCTGGCGTGGAGCCTATTACATGCTGCTTTATCTGGTAACATTGAGAAAGGAGTTCGTTCACATTTCTGATTAAATAATCAGCTACAGAGAGAATAAATAACTTCATGTTAGGTATAATTTTCAAGCAACACCAATTCATCATCTGCCAAGATTGCATTTATTACCAGGGTGAGAACAACTCCAGTTCTTTATCCTGCCTTAACTGTTCCTCTTATTCTTTCTCTGGATTTTAATAATTGTCATACATTTACTGGCTTCCTCTCAGTCTAATTCTTTTCCACAAAGCTCTGACCATCATAAAAATAACCTGCAATATAATTTAATAATCCTTGAAGTAGCAGCCCTCTGTTTTAAGGCTGTAAAACCACACACTTTTATACACTTTAGCCTCTAACCACCTGAACTCACACCTGCTGAAGTGCAATTGCTGAGATATCAAACCTTTTGGTTGTAGGTCCGAGCGCTGCTGCAGCTGTCAAAAGCCATGCATACACTGTAAAATACAACTAAAAGACGACACTGCGCTGAGGAGCTGGAGAAGGCCTGAAGGCCACTGAACGAATCACTGCGGTGCACACAAGCCATACATGTTTTCTTTAGTCTTTAAACTTGAAATCACAAAGTCAGAAGAAAAATTACCGCTTGCCCGAGGCAACTAAAGATTTTGGACTGGCAAGTGCGCTGTTTTAGCAAGCTGCCCGGTCGAGCAAGTTATGTATTACTTTAACCCTTTCAGACCGCGAACACATTCACGCAATTCTTCCTCTGCGCGGACACGTCTGATTATCTTTTTTTGACTAATTCTCTTCAAAATTTTCCAAGGATCCGCAATTCCCAACTGTTTTCTGCTAACAATGTAATTTCTGTGAAATGTATGTTGTTTGCTGTACGGACTCAAACGGGATTTGCATCCTCCGCTTTGACCCTGGGAGCAGCTGCGGCCGCTTTGAAATGACCACTGCTTTGGCAACAGCTCAGTGAACGCACTGCGTACTTGTGGTACAGAGCGCGGACTATAGACACGTGGACAGAACCATAGAAACGCGGACCATAGACACGCTGACAGGACCATAGACGCGTGGACCATCGACACGCGGACCATAGACACGTTGACAGGACAATAGATGCGCGGACAATAGACACGCGAACAGGACCATAGACGCGCGGACCATAGACACGCGAACAGGACCATAGACGCGCGGACCATAGACGCGCGGACCATAGACACGCGAACAGGACCATAGACACGCTGACAGGACCATAGACGCGCGGACCATAGACACGCTGACAGGACCATAGACACGTGAACAGGACCATAGACGCGCGGACCATAGACACGCGAACAGCACCATAGACGCGCGGACCATAGACACGCGAACAGGACCATAGACGCGTGGACCATAGACACGCGAACAGGACCATAGACGCGCGGCCATAGACACGCTGACAGGACCATAGACGCGTGGACCATCGACACGCGGACCATAGACACGTTGACAGGACAATAGATGCGCGGACAATAGACACGCGAACAGGACCATAGACGCGCGGACCATAGACACGCGAACAGGACCATAGACGCGCGGACCATAGACACGCTGACAGGACCATAGACGCGTGGACCATCGACACGCTGACAGGACCATAGACGCGTGGACCATCGACACGCTGACAGGACCATAGACGCGTGGACCATCGACACGCTGACAGGACCATAGACGCGTGGACCATCGACACGCTGACAGGACCATATACGCGTGGACCATCGACACGCTGACAGGACCATAGACGCGTGGACCATCGACACGCTGACAGGACCATAGACGCATGGACCATCGACACGCGGACCATAGACACGTTGACAGGACAATAGATGTGCGGATCATAGACACGCGAACAGGACCATAGACGCGTGGACCATCGACACGCTGACAGGACCATAGACGCATGGACCATCGACACGCGGACCATAGACACGTTGACAGGACAATAGATGTGCGGATCATAGACACGCGGACAGGACCATAGACGCGCGGATCATAGACACGCTGACAGGACCATAGACGCGTGGACCATCGAATTAAAGCCCAGTTACCTAAATCTCCCCTTGCATTAAAAATGCATGTTGGTTGTGCAAAGTAAAATGTTGTGAACAAATCAAACAGAACCCACCACATCAGGTGTCTTGTTTTTTATTTTGCATACTTAAGAGCCCTGTGAGTCATTATTTGAATTTTTTGGCTGAGAGTGGATTTTTTTCCACAGTTAGACTGAGCCACTTTATTGCCAATCTCTGTTAACTTATTTTTTTGATAAATATTTGGGCAAATTACTTTTGAAATTGGGCAAGCAAAACATAAATGGTACTTACCCGAAGGGCAAGTGACTAAGTGACAAAGCTTAAAGTAGTACTAGAATTTAATATGCTGCTATCCAGAATATATAACTACAATATGTGTTTGTAATATTTTGGGTGTTCATTTTGACATGTTCAGATGAATTATGTTAAAAAACAGCTTGGAAGTCGCACTTTTTCACTTCCGCATAGAAACGCTAGGGGGGGCCAACGTAGGCGATGACGTAGGAGAATGACCTCTCACAGCAGCAGCAGCAGTCTGGGCTGGAAACTGTAGGAGGTTTCACTGTCATCTGAACAAGGTATAAACATATTTTCATCCGTTTTGTACATAATAGTGTGCAACTCTTTTAATCTTTTAGCCTTATTTGTGAGATTCAAGCTAACTAGTGTTGGGCAAGTTAGCTAACTCTACTTGATATCATAAAACATGCTAACAAGGCTAATATTCGTTTTTACATTATGCCAGTCTCACTTGTTGCCTTAGATTTATTTACCACAATGTACATTGTAATATTCAAAAATGCTAACACCTATGAACGGTTTAATTAGCATTTTTATCAATGATTGCATCACATGTAGTCTATGTTTTCAACTTCTGCAGCTTTTTGTTCATAAAAGTAAAATATTTATTTAATTAAATTATTTTGATTAGCATTTTTGAATATTACAATGTACATTGTGGTAAATAAATTCAAGGCAACCACAGTGAGACTGGCATAATGTAAACACGAATATTAGCCTTGTTAGCATGTTTTATGATATCAAGTAGAGTTAGCTAACTTGCCCAACACTAATTAGCTTGAATCTCACAAATAAGGCTAAAAGATTAAAAGAGTTGCACACTATTATGTACAAAACGGATGAAAATATGTTTATACCTTGTTCAGATGACAGTGAAACCTCCTACAGTTTCCAGCTAAGACTGCTGTCTGCTGCTGTGAGATGCCCTTCCCCTACGTCATCGCCGCCATTTTGGCTCCCCCTAGCGTTTTTATAAAGGTGCCACTTGAAAGCCGTTTTTTAAACATAATTCATCTAAACATGTCAAAATGAACACCCGAAATATTATAAACACATATTGTAGTTATATATTCTGGATAGCAGCATATTAAATTCTAGTACTACTTTAACATTTCTACAAAGCTGGCCTTAAACATGCGTCATCAGTGAGAGAATTACAGGCCACGAAGTCACAAAACCTTCATTTGTGTTGGGCAGAAGTCAAGCTTTTGAAACGCATCTTATTTGCAAAATCCCTGCTTGGCTCTTGTTTGTTTTGGCCTGTCATTTCCTCTCAAAGCTAAATTAACCCAAACCGAAAATCTCACATTCACCTGGAAAAATCGCCGGTTTCAAAAAGCCACCCACTATCCGCACTAAATCTAAGACTATCAAACTAAATGAAAATCTGTGGTTACGACAACCAGAGATCCCGCCATAAACTCGCCACATGTTTTTCAGCGCTCTTTTTTGCTCTGGAAACGCTCACAAACGGTCAAAAATGAGTGGACAATATCTTATAAGAGCGAAATTGGAAAAAAAAATGTGGGTGGCGGTGAGCGAAATTTGCCGTTTTATCTGGACGCTGGGAGCCGTATCATGAGGGACTTCATTAAGAGAGGAAGTGCATGATGTCGTGATGATGTGTGAACCGTGGCTCCGGCGCGGGATGATGACCTCACTGCATGTTAATACCATTCTCACCTCTGTACGCGCCAAAGAAAAACCTCCAGACTCGCCAAAGCATTAAACCAAAGCCAACTGCCTGGATTCCCAACACCTCCACATACTTAAAAACCATTATAAAAAAACACTCCAATTCCCACAATGCAGCGTGGCACATATGTCTGGGCTCTTTGGAGCGTCCGTGGGGTGCTGTTGAGTCTCATTAAGCACAATATTACATGGATTTAACACACAAAGGGCAGCTAAACGGAGCTACTGCTTTTTAGGTGGGTATGGGTCACACCGGAGGCTGAAGCCGCTGGCAAAAGAAACACGTGGATTCAAGCTGTCAGAATTAAGTACGTACAAAAAATGTCTAACACAATTTATGGCTAAACTGTTATGAAAAATGTATGTGTTTCTGAGCCGTGTCCTTGGGCAAGATTTAAAGCAAATAGTTTTAACATAAGGAGAGCTATCCAGGCTAAAGTAACAGAATCAATCCATCATTATTTTCCCCTCTTCACCACCGCAGGTTATAATGCATTAACACCAGAACTGTTTTTTGTATTAGAGCCACAACAATGGAACTAGGGCAAGTTTTTATTTTTTAGCTAAATATCAAATAATTAGATATCATTGTAATTTTGTATAAAGTTATATTTGTGTTATTTCTTTTTTTTGTTATTGACATTTAAAACAATATTTATTTTTTTGCTGCCGGATCATATTTCCTTTCTTGGCATCAATTGTGATTTAAAGCTTTTGTTAAAAGTGCCTGTAAACCATTACCCTGTAAAACCACTGTTTTTTTCCCCCACACAAAATACAAATGGGACGATTCAGAGGAACTTGCTACGTTTGGATTATTCAATTTCAGCTATGCCATACCTTTTTTTATTTTATTTTTTTATCTTAAACCGTATTTTTTTGTTTTAATAAAAATAATATTACGTAAAAAATAAATCCTTATTGTTTTATTATGAATTATTGACCCATTTGCGGGTCAAATCATTCCAGCAGTGTAGTAAAAATAACAGCTGAGTTTAAATCATTTTGCAACTTTCTGAGTCAAATCAACACAGCGCTGGATTGGTCCGTTTTTGACCCAGGACTGGATTATAATTCAACACAGACTGATTGTATTTAACCCCAGAAATGTTTAGCGCTTTAATTATATATAGTTTGTCTCTATGTAGAAAAGATAAGTTATTAAAAAGTCTACAGTGTTCCAACAGTCAGACTAACTCCAACTCATGGCACCACTCAAAAGACAAAATGAAGTGTAATTGTTTACTGAAGTCCCACCGGTGTACGACGCCGTGTTTGTGCAGGTGGTCCACAGCGGAGAGGATCTGTCTGGTGTAGCGCCTGACTTCCCTCTCCTCCAGACGCTTCCTCTCACAGATCCGATCCATCAGGTCTCCTCCCGCACACAGCTCCATGGCCATGTAGTAACTGTTCTCCGTCTCCAAGGTCTGCGGTGCAACAACCAGAAAAGCTTTTAGAGGTTTTTTCAGTCAAATCTGCTTCTGTGACACCGACATGTGGTTTTCGAAGAATAAAAAAGCATAAACCACCGCAAATGATAACCTACGAAGTAATAATTGTTTGAATTGAGTGGTTTTTATTTTAATTTACGTACATTCTGACAAGATTTAAACAACAAGAATTGCAAGAATTGCCAATGGGACAAGCAATTATTACTTCAAGAACTTTCGCTTTATTTTCTCATTCCAAGAGAGAGATTTCTTCTATCTTTTTAAAACAAGATACATTTTGCTTGTCCCCTTGGCAAATCGTGTTTTAAGGCAGTCAAATGGTGCTAAATTATTATTTTTATCACTTTTTGCAGTGTATCAGTATTTTCACAAGAACTTGGAGCTAGCCGGGACTGTCTAGTGTCTGGTGTGTGTGAATGATGAGTGTTGGAAGATGTTATTTACAGCCTTGCTTCCACCATCCTACCCCGAGGCAGATGTGGCTGTTTTTTTATATTCCATAAACATCACATTCTGACTAAGTTCATTCCTAAAAGTAATCTCTAGTATTGCAGTTATGGAAAAAAAATCTCACGTCACTTCCTAAGTTGCCATTTCCGACACACTTAGAGTTTGCTCATTCGCGTCAATAGGAAATCATGTTACTGCACGATTTACATCACGTTCACCCAAAATGAGCACATCTATTCTGCACGGCTTAAGAAAAGTCAGAGACCAACGGAGAACAAGAATTGTGATGCTAGCAAAGTGGAGCTAACCGGGAAACACAGAGGGGGAGAAACCCTACACCTACAGCAGTATTCCCCAACCTTTTTGAGTCGACATTCAACAACATTTATAGACATTTATTAACGCGTTCACGGAAATTTTCAGAATTTTCTGGTCTTGTCTTCATGACAAAAATACTATTTCTCTGCGTCAAAAAGCGATCGTGAAAAACCCGGAAGTAGTAAACGCAAATGCCAATCAATCAACGCAATGAAATGTTAATCGGAGAGTAATTTATACATATCCAGTCTTAATACAAGTGCACAGAAGTTTTCAGAATTTTCCGTTTACGTTTTCATGACAAAAACACTGATGTAATGCAAGAAAATGCGATCCCGAAAAACCCGGAAGTAGATACCGGCACATTTTAAGATACCGGCACATTTTCGGACGCATTTGCAGAGGATCGAATTATGGATTTAGGTTAGGTTTATGTATGGGTCACTCACCGCTGATGTTCAGAATTCTTTGTTCAGTTTTCATGCAGTTCCAGAGAGTTCTAGTTTGGAAGTCTAACAGCCTAACTGCACTAGCATAGCCACGGGAAAGCCTTTGGGAACTATTTTATTTTCTGTCATTAAATAAACCTTTCGGCATTCCTAAAAGTGGACTGAAGTTTATGTTGTGTGTTCTGTTGGTATAAAGCCGTATAATAAGCGGGATAACGTATATTACGCAGGTCATTTTCGGAAAATAAGTACCGACAGGGCGAAGCGGACCCCGACGCGCATATTTACATTTACGGACATTTGTCATCTGCCCCTTATGGACAAATGGCTCTATTGTTAGGTGTTTGAACTGTTTAATTCTCTGATCTGTGTTGGCGAATCAACGGCTTTGTAAAATCCTTCCGATAGAACTACTGTTGTGATTTAGGGCTATAAAAAAAAATTTGAATTGACAATAATCCTACAGCACACCCTCAGCTGAAACTGATAAAAACTTGAAACTTTCCCTGTATTGACAAAGCAAAGTCATTCTCATCAAAGTGTATTAAGAAAATCAAACAAGCAGTAAAAAGTATTTCTAGTCTTCTCACGTTATTTTCTGTTTACATCATTTTGATCAATTAGGTCATATTGCACCATTTCCTCGACACCGAACAACATCTCAAGTCCCACTAACGTCCCACGACCCACTGGTTCAAAAACTCGTATCCAGCCAAGCGAGGTTGCCAAAGAAAAATGGTTTCTAGATAGTAGATAAAAGCTAACAGTGTGCGCTCCTTTTACCAGCTACTTAAGCTAGAGCGGAAATATAATTCACTCTCAAAATATAAAACATGTTTGTATATACAGTAACAAGGAAAGCTGAGCCAACTTTTGGTTTCACTTTTGTTTACGTTTCCATTGTATCCCCCATTAAATATTCCGACCATGTGCCTTTTTTTGCACTTCTTTTCACACATCTCCTCCATCGGCTGCTTGATGAATGAAGTAAAAAAAACCAACTTAGTAACCATTGTATAAAAATACTTCTTTACTAATAGTAAAATGTGCCCCAATGAAGTTAGTGTTCTTAATTCATTGACTGCCTGCCGTTTTTGATGATTTCACTGATTCTCAAGACCCACAGATTATTATTTCCTAAGACTATGTGGAATATGAAACCAGATTCTGAAAGACTGGATTGTCTACTTTGATCAGCAAAAATAAGTTTGTTTCTAGCTATTTTCATTGTCCTGTAATCCCCAGTGGAATAGAGGGTCTCAGACAAATACGTCGATGGCAGTCAATTAGTCAATGCAGTTTGGATCTAAGACATTTATTAGCATTTACACAGCCTGGAATGGATGTGGTTCTGATCCGAGCGCACCTGGAGCCGATGTTTTTGGACTGTTTCTCACCTCGAACAGGACCACGATGTGCGGGTGGCGGACCATCTGGTGAATGCGCGGCTCCCTCTTCATGTTCTTCAACACGTACGAGTCTTGGCGGGCTTTCTTTTTGTCGATCACTTTGATGGCCACCTGAAACAAAGAGTCACAGCTAATTCAAGAAAGACATGAATACGGTAAAAACCACTACAAATCTGCAGGTTTTAGCAACACATTTTGGTAGACGTATACAGTATATACACTGCAAACTCAAGTAGCAGATGCCGGAACTTGTTTATATGTTTTTGTGACATAAGCAGCAGCAGCAGGTTCAGAACAAAACATGGGAAGGTTGTATTTCAGATTCATGCAGCTAAAATCTGGAACAATCTTCCTGAAAGTGTGAGACAGGCCTCTTCTCTGACTATGTTTAAATTCAGATTAAAAACAGTTGTGTTTAGCTGTGCATACAACTGAAGGATATTGTATTTTTTTGTGGGTATGATTTTAATGCCTTGAGTTTCTATCTTGTTTTGTTGCACTTTGAGTTGCCTTGTGTATGATTTGTGCCTAAAAAGTAATCTTGCCTTGCCAGATATTTTCTCTTTATTTTTATTCAATATTTCAACCTTATTTTCTGACTGAATGAATATACATGTTAAAGCAATATCTAAACTAATGTCCTATCTTGTGCCCTATGAGTTAATACTAAATTAAAATAATAAATGGTAAGACTATGAGAAATAGTGAGTGAGGGAACTGGGTTGATTTGATCCTTTGATACAGTGCCCCCTTGAACCTTTCAACATTTCGCCACATTTCAGTCTTCAAACATAAAGGTATAACATTTTAATTTTTTGTCAAGAATCAACAACAAGTGGGACACAATCGTGAAGTGGAACGAAATTTATTGGATAATTTAAACTTTTTTAACAAATAAAAAACTGAAAAGTGGGGTGTGCAATATTATTCGGCCCCCTTGCGCTAATACTTTGTAGCGCCACCTTTGCTGCAATTACAGCTGCAAGTCGCTTGGGGTATGTCTCTATCAGTTTTGCACATCGAGAGACTGGAATTCTTGCCCATTCTTCCTTGCAAAACAGCTCGAGCTCAGTGAGGTTGGATGGAGAGCGTTTGTGAACAGCAGTCTTCAGCTCTTTCCACAGATTCTCGATTGGATTCAGGTCTGGACTTTGACTTGGCCATTCTAACACCTGGATACGTCTATTTGTGAACCATTCCATTGTAGATTTGGCTTTATGTTTTGGATCATTGTCCTGTTGAAAGATAAATCTCTGTCCCAGTCTCAGGTCTTTTGCAGACTCCAACAGGTTTTCTTCCAGAATGGTCCTGTATTTGGCTCCATCCATCTTCCCATCAATTTTAGCCATCTTCCCTGTCCCTGCTGAAGAAAAGCAGGCCCAAACCATGATGCTGCCACCCCCATGTTTGACAGTGGGGATGGTGTGTTCAGGGTGATGAGCTGTGTTGCTTTTACGCCAAACATATCGTTTTGCATTGTGGCCAAAAAGTTCGATTTGGTTTCATCTGACCAGAGCACCTTCTTCCACATGTTTGGTGTGTCTCCCAGGTGGCTTGTGGCAAACTTTAAACGAGACTTTTTATCGATATCTTTGAGAAATGGCTTTCTTCTTGCAACTCTTCCATAAAGGCCAGATTTGTGCAGTGCACGACTGATTGCTGTCATATGGACAGACTCTCCCACCTCAGCTGTAGTTATCTGCAGTTCATCCAGAGTGATCATGGGCCTCTTGACTGCATCTCTGATCAGTCCTCTCCTTGTTTGAGATGAAAGTTTGGAGGGACGGCCGGGTCTTGGTAGATTTGCAGTGGTCTGATACTCCTTCCATTTCAATATAATTGCTTGCACAGTGCTCCTTGAGATGTTTAAAGCTTGGGAAATCTTTTTGTATCCAAATCCGGCTTTAAACTTCTCCACAACAGTATCTCGGACCTGCCTGGTGTGTTCCTTTGTCTTCATGGTTCTCTCTGCGCTTTAAACAGAACCCTGAGACTATCAAAGAGCAGGTGCTTTATACGGAGACTTGATTACACACAGGTGCATTCTATTTATCATCATTAGTCATTTAGGACAACATTGGATCATTCAAAGATCCTCACTGAACTTCTGGAGTGAGTTTGCTGCACTGAAAGTAAAGGGGCCGAATAATATTGCACGCCCCACTTTTCAGTTTTTTATTTGTTAAAGAAGTTTAAATTATCCAATAAATGTTGTTCCACTTCACGATTGTGTCCCACTTGTTATTGATTCATGACAAAAAAATTAAAATGTTATACCTTTATGTTTGAAGCCTGAAATGTGGCGAAATGTTGAAAGGTTCAAGGGGGCCGAATACTTTCGCAAGGCACTGTAGATAAAGGGATTTTTTTCCCCTTCTCAAACCAGAATAAGTCCAGAATAATTCCAGTGTCGTCTTGAAATAAACAATCCAGTATTTTAAGGTGTCTAAAGAAATGTTTTGTAGACGTTTTAGTTTCTTTTGATGCATGCCTTATTCTTTTATAACTTGTTTGCACCGAGAGACAAAGCAATTTCCTTATTTGTGACTTCTTGTAACTCACATTTTGATTTTGATAAGCAAGTAAAAGAAACCTCAATAATCGACCTAACAAGACAATCTTAAAGAACACATTTGTTTTATTTACGTACTTGTCTAGTGCACTTTTTCCAATGTGGTTGTACTGCAAATGGCAAATAAATGAATCTAAATCTGAGTCTGACTCTGACTCTGACATGGTTTTCACTCAGCAACATGTGTAGATACTGTAACCAGGAAAACCAGTCTAACATGGCCAAAATCTCACATCCTCACACTTTGGGATCCGTGACGCTGCGTGAGCCTGAAGCAACGGGGTCAGAGCAAGCAAACATCCCATAGGTGACTTTAGCGGTTACTATGACAACATGAGTTAGCTGCATACGACAACCAGGTCACGAACGCAGCGACCCTTCGACTTGTGTGTGAGCGGGTAAACACAGACCGGTGAAGCAAAGAAGCATATGTATATAAGTTAAGGCTCAATGGGAGAGGAGAGCTCAGACCAAACCAGGACTTTTTGAACCGGTAAAAACAAAAACAAACATCTAAAGAAAACGAAATCAAACAAATGAGTCCTCAGCTTGCTCTTGAATGAACTGATGGATAGTTTTAGAACGCATCTTGTTTTGAAGAATTACGTTTCTGAATCTGGTCTCATTTTATTCAACAGATGAATATACTTTTTTTTATTCTGTTATATACATCATTTCTTATGGTTCCAAGAATATGGTTCCAAGAAATAATAAACAATAAAAACTACAGATTAAACAAGAATAATCTACGTGGTACCTAACTTTATCATTGGCTATTATTATTGTTTTCTTTTTCACTTTTTTCTATCTGACTAAGCAAAAAACACACCCAGATGTAGGTGAGAACTAGTGATAGAAACAGTATTGAGAGCAAGGAACCAGTTGCATGGATTTTATTGTTTTTTTGTGCTTTGAAAGTCCGGTACCACAACTAAATCATCCTATAACAACAAATAACAACCACAACATAACATTTTTAAATAATAGCCTGTCTCTCTATCATTACATGAGCTCATTCTCCACACAGAACACTTAATACTAGACTGGATTCTGGTCCTAAACTACTGTGTATGTGTGTGTGTTTGTGTGTGTGTGTGTGTGTCTGGGTCTGACCTTCTCTCCGGTCCCGATGTGCAGCCCCTCCATTACTTTGGCGAAGGACCCCTTGTTGATCATCTTCCCGACCAGGTACGAGCCCACGCGCTTGGAGTGGGGGAAGCTCCGGAGCATGTCCCGGGACACTCTGACGGGAGGCAGGGGCGCGCGCTGCTCCAGTCCCCCCGGAGCCTCCCCCTCCCCTGCCACCATCTCCACAGCAGTGGGGGCCTTCACTGGACCCACGGGCATGGCCTAGAGGCGCTCCGGGCCGGGCGTCCATGAACCGGGCCGGGGGACATGGTCGAGAGGCGAGACATCTGCTATAGAGAGCGGACTCAGGTCAAGTACGTATAAGCATATAAGACAAAGCAAACTACTTCAGACTTGTATTGCCTACTGTAACTTAGAAGCATGGCTAACTATTTCAGACCTTCATTGCTTAACTTAGAAGCATGGCTAACTACTTCAGACCTGTAATGTTTATTTTAGAAGGATGGCTAGCTACTTCAGACCTTTATTGCATAACTTAGAAGGATGGCTAACTATTTCAGACCTTTATTGTTTAACTTAGAAGGATGGCTAACTACTTCAGACCTTTATTGCTTAGAAGGATGGCTAACTACTTCAGACCTGTATTGCTTAAGGATGGCTAACTATTTCAGACCTGTATTGTTTAACTTAGAAGGATTGCTAACTACTTCAGACCTTTATTGCATAACTTAGAAGGATGGCTAACTACTTCAGACTTGTATTGTTTAACTTAGAAGGATTGCTAACTACTTCAGACCTTTATTGCTTAACTTAGAAGGATGGCTAACTACTTCAGACCTGTATTGTCTAACTTAGAAGCATGGCTAACCACTTGAAGGTTTCATTGAAAAAATGATTGTTTTCCAGTTCAGACTTGTATTTCTAAACTTAGAGGCATGGCTAACCACTTCAATAAATTAGAAGCATTGCCTAACACTTCAAACTTGTATTACTAAACTTAGGAGCAAAGCTAACCACTCCAGACTTCTAATTATTAACATGGAAGCATGGTTTACTAGTTCAAACCTGCATTGATCAACTTTGTTTACCAGTTCAAACTTAGAAGCATGGCAACTTATAAGCACGGCTAACCACTTCAAACTGTATCGACTGGCGGAGAAGCACTTCAGACTTATAATGATTAACTTAGAAGCCCTGCTAACCACTCCATACCTGTATTGATTCACTTACTGTAATACCATGGCTAACCACGTCATACTTGTATGCAATAAATTAGAAGCATGGCTAATCAATTCATATTAATGTATCCACATCAGACCTGGAGTAATTAACAAAGAAGCATGACTAAGCAGCTCAAACCTGTGTTAATAAAGATGCTGTCATTGAAAAAAGAGAAAACTAATATCTTTCTTTCTCCTTTCTATTTGCTTAAACTATTGAGGGGTAGTTTGTGTGTTATTATTCCCATGCTTTGATTATTCTTGTATTTCAAAATGACTTCAATTCAGGTTATTGAATATAGGACAGCTCAAGACACCTGCAGAGAACATAGAATATTTATTTGCATTATTATATATATATCGGCTTGTTTCCATTAGTGCAGGTGCAGTAGCAGTGATAAAAATAGACATACAAATTATTGTTAGTTTCATCCAACAAAAAGACCAACATACATCAACATTTACTGAAATTCTAATAATTTTCCAGAATCTACTGTATAATAACAATCTATAAAAGTCAAATCCACTTGAAACAATACAAAAGTTATGTTTAAGTCATCTTCACAGACCTGTATTCTGCTTTCCAGAGTAGATCCAAAACGCTTCCACAAATGGCTTGATCTCAGGTTCTCTTCATCTGCTCAGCTCGATAAAACACTTTTCTGCTGTTGAGTTTCCCTCGGTGACAAACAGGTAAACGTAATCCTTGTATCCTTGTGCGTTTCCATGCGGTTGTCGTACCAAAAGTCTCTCCGTGCTTCGGTGGAGCGGCTCCTTCCGTGTTTGCGCGCCCGTTAGTGGATGATTAACCGTGGACTTGGCGGGTGATGGATGACACCCTACACCATAATTACCCCCCCCCCCCACCTCCACACACACACACACATGTCTCACAGTTACACACAAAATGCTCTCATGGGACACACAGGTCTATGTGTGTCTAGGTCTAGTCTACAAGTCATCAATGTAACTTTCAAACCACAAATTAATGGATGTCATGAATTCAATCTAATCCATCTGAGTTCATCACGTTCTAAACAGGTTCTAGTTTTTGCATGCATGTATTTTTTGGCTTCTTTTAAGTCTCCATTTTTAGTTTTTGAGCTAAAGCTAAAAAAAGACAATAAAAAAACCAAGCATACAGTACAACTTGTTAGATTGTTGGACTAAAACTGTCCGATCACGACAAGATGAGAGAACCTTGATTCGTCCCACAGTTGGAGAGACGACATGTTACATATTTGAACATGGCAAGTTTATTTGTATAGCACAATTCATACACAAGGAAACTCAAAGTGCTGAATTGTGAAGATAGGGACAGTCCCACACGCACTGCCTCTAGCTCCTTGTGGTTTTTTGTGATTTGTGGTTCTACGTCATGGTGCTACGTCCCTTAGGACTTCGCTAGTGGGATATCACGTGACCCCCAGGTCACACGCCAGAGAGATCAAATAATTTGCTCCAATCACCAGCCACCTTCCTCTATAAATGCCCCTGCACAAGGCCGCACCCCCTCTTTCACTCTGGCGCCGATTGAGATCTACATTCAATTACCTGAGGAAAGATGTCTTCTGATGCTCGTCCGAGTTCCCCTTCGCCATCCGGCGTCGGACGTCGTCGTTGCTCGACTTGTCGGGTCAAGCTCCAGCGCAAGGACCAGCACTCCAGCTGCTTCCTGTGCCTGGGTTCGGGCCATGCAGCGTTGAGCGCTACCTGCGCCTCGTGTGTCGCTCTCCCCAGGGAGGAGAGTGAACGCAGGCGCGCGTTCTTCGCCGCTACAGCGCCCCGTCCGGACCCCTCTCAGGACGAGGAGTCTGCGATTGACTGGGCCCCCCTCGACCTTCCACCCGTGCCCGCGGAGTGGGGTGACTGCGAGGACGGAGAGGTGTCGGAGGTCGGCTCTCTCCTCACGCTGGACGAGGTGGTGTCCAACCCGGAGCCGGACCGCTTCCCGCTGGACCACATGCCTGGGCTCTACGCCACGGCGGCGGCCATCATGGATGCCCCCCTGCCACCGCAACCGAACCAGAGCGTGGAGGACTTCACCTCTGGTTACGCCACCCCTCGAGGGAGGAGGAGAGCCCAGCCCACGTTGTGCCCGCGTATGGACCCGATCGTCCATTACGCGACACGTGAGTGGCCAAAGCCCCTAGCGGCCAAGAGGCCCGCTTTGGGGTATGGCATGTACTGTAACGTGCAGGACTGGTCCTGGACCGGCGGGGTCCCGGACATCGAGGACTCGGTTCGGGCGGCCCTGCACCCCTCCACATCCGTGTGGCCCAGCACCAGACCTCTCCTTCCCTCCGAGCGGGATAGGATGTCTTTGGCGATGCACGACAGATGTTACGCCAATGCGGCTCAGGTCGTCGCGGTGGCTAACAACATGGCCTTCATCACCGGGGCCCTGGATAGGTCTCTCTCCTCTGACCAGGCACTCAGTGGAGACACCTTATCCCAGGCGAGGACCACTTCAGCGGCGATCTTGCGCATGTGCCAAGCGCTAGCTGTCGATGGCGGCCGCACGATGGCAGCAGCACAAGTTGGGGCCAGACACCTCTGGCTGGGGCCGGTGAATCTCAGAGAGGCGGAGAAGAGGCAGCTGCTGGACCTGCCCATCTCCCAAACGTCACTCTTCGGTCCGGAGATGCAGACGCTGATGACGAGGCTGGACACCGCAGCTAAGGACTCTGCTAGCCTAGCCAAGCATCTAGCTGCGAGACGCGAGGCCCGCCCACCAGCGCGGAGCCGAGACAGAGGCAGGGAGCGCTCGCCCGGCAGGCGCCCCGGACCATATCCACGCTCCGTGGTCCATCGTTCCCCAGCGACGAGACCCCCGGGCCCAGACAGGCACACGGGAGGTTCGCGGGACCAACACACCCACCGACGACCTCCCTATGGCAGAGGAGGTCGGGGTGGGAAAAATGTTTTCAATAAAGGCCGTCCGGCATTTCATCAGTACTCGCTGTCTGAGTCTCATTTGGGGGTATGTAACATGTTAAATGATTTGAATTCTGATTGTGTTACTTCTCGAGCATATAACGTGGCTCCGCTAGGCCTGCAGCCCCCAGAGAAGGGCGTGCAGCGCGCTACGCGGGCCACGGGCTCCGATTCACGGGTTCATGTTTTGCCCTCCCGGAGAGAGGGCAGGCGGAGGGATCTGGTAAGTGATAATGTGTGTGCTCCAGCCGAACGCGTGTTAGCATCTCTGAGCTACAAGGCTAACACGGGGTTTCCCATTCCAGGGGCTCGCCCCCCCCTCCATGAGGCAAGAGCCAGGGGGGGGCACAGCAGCCGAGTCACGTGTGGTGAACAGTCCCGTACTTATGACGTCGGGCCTGCAGAACACGTGACCGCCCTCGGCGCTCACGGTGTGACGCAGGGGCCCCCCCGGCCCTTTCAGCCACCCCCCCTCCCTGCTAGGAACACCAGGAGGGGGCGGGGCCGTGACGTCTCGTGTTCCAACTTCCGTTCCGCCCCTCACAGACTTCTACAGCATCTGGAAGGAGCAGGGCCTACTGACAGATATTTGGCTGGAGAAAACTCTGCGCAGAGGTTACGCGCTGCAATTTTTCCGAAAGCCACCACCATTCCGAGGCGTACGGGCAGTACGCTCTCAGGTACGGGGATCGACAGAGGCACTGCAAGCGGAGGTCTCCTCTCTGCTGAGTCGAGGCGCAGCAGTGGAGGTAGACCCGCAGGACGCCACCAGGGGGCTGTACTCCCCTTACTTCTTAGTGCCAAAGAAATCAGGCGGGGTGCGTCCCATTCTGGATCTGCGCGTGTTAAACGAGTGCATTTCCAAACGGCAGTTTCGGATGCTGTCCACAAGGCAGCTCCTCGAGTGTGTCAGGGAAGGAGACTGGATGACTTCCATAGACCTGACAGACGCATACTTCCACGTGCCCATAGTGCCAGAACACAGGAGGTTTCTGCGCTTCGCAGTGGGAGAGAGGAATTACGAGTACTGCCGTCTCCCCTTCGGGTACGCACTCGCGCCTCGCACCTTTTCCAAATGTGTGGAAGCAGCTCTGGAGCCGA